GATAGGAAAGCTCCTATAACATCGGCGTCGGTGACGTTAGGCATCTCATTACACTACCGGGATAAGTGTCGGATGTACCCATGAAGGGTTTCTCTGGCCTTCTATCGGTAGTTCCTAAGATCCCATGGGTTCCCAGGGCGCTTGTATGTGCCCTGGAAGTTCCCCACGAAGATCTCTTTTAGGTCCACCCAACTTTGGATTCTGTTGGGCGTAAGGTGTTCCAACCATGTTCGTGCTGAATCGGCCAGGAACAATGGAAGGTTGCGGATAATGAAATCGTCATTATCCGTTCCACCGACTTGGCAGGCAAGCCAATAATCCTCGAGCCATAGTCCGGGGTTCATTTCTCCAGAGTATTTTGGGATGTTGGTTGGTGGCCGGTACCTTGGCGGGAATGCGACGTTGAGGATGTGTCGGTCGAAGGCCTGAGGCCTAGGCCTTTTGGTCCTAGGCTAGTCATAGCATCCGGGACACGTGGACTAATACGTCCTCTGTCGGGTTGCTACGAGGAGGGTGTCGCATGCGTCACGGTTGGAGGCGTTGATCTCGTGGATCACACGTCCTTGTCGGGTTGCTACGAGGGCGTGCGCTTCGACTGCTTCGCCAGCAGCAATGACTTCGCTTTCTTCAAGCCAGATCAAGCGAATCTCTCACGGTGGGCTCGACGATCCTCGGCGTCGTGGGACCCGAAGCCCACGAGCAAGGCCATTGTAGCAGCGATGTTTTGGCTCACCCGGCGGCGCATGGGACGGCTTCATCATCCGCGATGATCCTTCAGTTCACGTCGCGGGTCATGGCACGCGCGCCCACCGTCTCCATGGCGCTTGATCTCCTGATCAAGCTCTGCATTCTGCTTGAGCTGGAGTCATGCTTCCTCAAGCTCTAGGTGCTGGACCTTTAGCTGCTCCACCCGCAGCAGGGTGGGGGCCCTGTCTCCCCCTCGACCTCATCGTCGAGGTTGTTCGTTGGGGTAGCTTCTTCCTCGTGGATGCTTTCGACGTGTCCCTTAGGGGTATCCATCATGAAGCACTCACAAGAGGGGTGATGGCTCCCCCTGCTGGAGTCAGAGCTGGAGGGCGACTTCGATTCTCCTACGAGAAGGTCATGGAAAGACTCCGCGACATATTCGATCATCCCCATGAATCTATCATTCGTGGGGGATGAAGATGGGCGTTGCACCACAGGGTGGCCATCGGCCTCTGCGGCGTTGTGGAGACCGAACGGGAGTGCTATCGGGGTGCTCCGGATGAGGTATTCTAGAGAGAGTGGCTCCCCTCCGGTAAGCTACGCCATGACGTTGGTGAACGAGAAGGTGAGGTGGTGCAGGTCCTCCCGGGATGGCCGAGGTCCTAAGAAGGCGCCGAGCTGGCGCTCTAACCTCCCGTAGTCAAAGTCGAGGAGTTGGTTGCTTCTAGGGGCATGGGCCTCCAGTGTGTGCAGCCATAGCTCCTCAAGCGCCTCGGTGGTTGCGTCGAGGCTAGCGGAGTAGAGAGGTTGGATGGTGGTGGGAGCCATTGCCAACTCTCCTTCCGCTGTGACGATGAAGTTCAGGTCCCTGAATCGCACGTGCGCGCCTAGGACCCAGCTGAGGTTGCAACTAGCCATCCGAGGCCTAGTGTGGATGTTGAGATACGCAAAAGGCCCCTACCTGGCACGCCAACTATCAGTGTTTTGAGTTGCCACCGATGAGTAAATTTGTATTATTGCGCGTCTGGCCCAGATGGTGTGCTAAGAGGACACGAGGTTTATATTGGTTCGGGCAGAATGTCCCTACGTCCATGTCGTTGCTGCTGCTTGTGTTACTAGCACTAGAGGTTCATAGTAGGGGTTACAAATGATCGAGAGAGGGATTGGTCCCAAGTCTCTGGTGGTGTGTTGCGGTGAGCTCTGATTCGAGTCGAGTCGAGTCGAGTCCGGATGTGTTTGGTTCTGTTGTATAGCGTTTGTTCGTCCGATGCCTCTAATGGGATGTCTGCTTTCCCTTTTATAGGCCAAGGAAGAGCACGATCACAGTGGAGAAAGAGAAGAGAACGAGAGAAATAAGTCCTTCGGGGTCGCCGGGTCCTTCTTCTCCTTTATGTGGGTCCCGTCGACCCTATAGACGTTAATAGGGATAGCTTCTCGTCGCGGCCCTATCCGTCACTGGCACCATGTGCAGGCATCGTCTACCGGTCATGGCGCTCCACCCCGTCTTGGCGAACGTCGTGGTGAACTAATGCCCCCGTCAGTGTTCGTATGGGGGTTAGACAGAACAGCACCGGTGCGCCCGACGCTGTTCCTGACGTGAACCCCCAAGTATGGCCCGTCGTGGGTCGTGGGCTACATCGAGGCGTGCCAGTCTCTTCCCTAGCGTTAGAGCTTTGACCCAGACCCATACGCTTGGACTTAGAGTGGTTGGTGGTGGTACGGGTCTTTGTCGGGAGAGGCAGAGTCCGCGGCCTCGGGGTTGGGTGAGGCGGAGTCCTTCCCTAGAGGACGGGCGAGGCTGAGCGCAAACCCAAGGGTCGGGCGAGGCAGAGCGCAGACCCAAGGGTCGGGCGAAGCGGAGTCCTCCCCCAGAGGCCGGGCGAGGCAGAGCCCGTGGCCTTGGGGTTGGGCGAGGCGTCCTTCCCTCGTGAGGATTCAAGCGAGGCGGAGCCCAAGGGCCTTGAGGTCAGGCGGAGTCCTCCTCCCCCAAGCGGCCGAGCCCATGCCCTTGAGGTCGAGGAGGCGAGTCCTCCCAGGCCGAGCGTCAGGACCCAAAGGTCGAAGGCGGGCCAGACCAAGGGTCGGGCGAGGCGGAGTCCTCCCCCAAGGGTCGAGCGAGGCGGAGCGCGGACCCAGAAGTCGGGCGAGGCGGAGCGCGGACCTAAGGGTCGGGCGAGGCGGAGCTTGCGTACCTAGGGTCGGCAAGAGCTGTAGTAGCGCTCTTGACCGCTCGGATGAATCAACGTTGATGGTTATTAGCTTCTCCTCTTCGGGTACCCTAGTATTGATCCCCGACAATTACCTACATTGAAGCATTAGCTTTAGCCTCGTTTAACACCATATTATTTCTATTCAACCATATAGCCTAACAGAGCGCAGGAGCTCCTAACAAAATTCAGTTTCTTAGCTTTAGATCCAAAGCATGTAACCAGGAACCAAACAAATTAGCAAAGCTAGTGGGTGGTTATTAACAAATTAGCAATGCTTGTTGCTTGAACAGTGAAAAATGCAATATTCAAAATATACGTTGGACAGTGGACATTGTAAGAAGGTGGACACCGAATATACGCCAATTCAGAAATTGACTCTTGTTGTTTGGACTGTGGACACTGAATATGTCATTGTGATCTAATGACCGGACAATTTTATAGATATGTTGCTCCCAGAATGTATGTTTGTAATTGCAAAATGGAAGCACCAACTTGAATTGAAGCATGACAAGCACCTTACGTGCATACAGACTTGCATACTGCTGTGTTCTTGCTTGTAAAATGGCAAAAAGGTATTGAGTTATTCCTTTTGAAAGTAGAGTTATGAGATTACTTCAGTTATTTTTTTCTGCAGTTAGAGTTATTACTTGATCTTTTGAAAAACTAGAAAAAAAAGGATTTTTAAGCCCGTCGCAACCCATGAGCAAGGACTTCCTGTTTTACAAAGAGAAGACAATTGATATTGTATTGTGTTTTTCTATAAAAAAAAACGTGGTTATAGCTATGGCAAGATAGTATAATCTGCAAGTAGACACAAGGAGTTAGGCAGTTAGCCATTCTTTTCTTAAGTATATAAATCAGTCAAAGATGGTGGTACTGATTGTCATAAAAATGACTTTGTCTCACCATATACCTAGACGACTATCTCATGTGCAAAACTGATTTATCATCATCATCTTGATTCTTAATTGGCTAGATATATTGTGAAATTCCTTGTCATTTCTGTTGCAACACACGCACATAAACCTAGTACTTAAATAATACAATAATAACAACGGAGTTAGTTAAAAATAATGAAAACGCTCTTTATACGGTGTGCTTCGGTCCGGACAGACCCCGCACTCGCCCAAGTTGCCCTCTTGCTCTGCTCACAGGACAGACCCCGCCCTCGCTCGTGCCCCCGCCGCCTGCTCGTGCCGCGCACGGCGAGCCCGACGCTAGGCGCTCGCTAGCTCGCTACCGCGACTCCCGTCACGGCCGTGCTGGATCCGCCTGCCCCTGCCTCTGCCGAGATGTGTGCCACCGACGAGCTCTACACCGGCGACCTCTGTCACTCCGCGGCTTCGAGCTCCGCGTCGACGAGCCTCCATTCGTCTAAGCAGCAAGCATATGCTACGTTGAAAGTGTATGTTGTAATAGTATGTTTTAGATGTTTTAGATATTTTCTTGGTACGTTACTGAGTGTTCTCGTCCGCCGAGCGTCCCCGCCAAGAGTCGCCAGCCACCGAGACCGTACTTGAGGGCAGTTTCTGAGCCACATATCACAACCGGTCCACATGTCGGTAAATGCGTCGCCACGAGCGTCTGGTCCAGATCGATCGGACCCCGAAAAAGCGAGCTATATCCAATTATCCATAATCCACAGGCTTGAATTTCTTGTGGCGCTGAGGCTCTGCCGATTCCGGCTCCAACCTATTTACTTGAAGGAGAGAGGACTCTGCTGCTACCTTGCTGTCACTCACTACAATGGAAACGGCGTCATGCTTCCTGACCTCCAAAGCATCGTCCAAGAGCATGGCGGTGCTGTCGCCAACCGGCTTCGCAAAACCTAAGCCTCGCCTGCTCTTTGGCGGCCGCCGTGCTTGTGAGTGATGTCCTGCTCCTCCTCTTGCTTCCTTCCTTCCCTTGCTCGATCACTACCGTCACTAACCAGATCGATCGGAACGAACATACGCAGGCTGCAGCATCAACGCTCGCGCGTCGGAGGACGGCGGCGCGCCACCGCCCATCGATGCCGACTGGCGGTCATTCCGCGCGCAGCTCTACTTCAACGAGCAGTACGCCGCCAAGAGTAGCGTGAACAACCCGGGCGTGACGACCGCGATGCCGTTGCCGCCGCAGCAGCCGGTGAAGAAGATCGGCGACAAGTGGGCGCACCCGCTGGTGGAGCCCGAGAAGGGGTGCCTCCTGATCGCCACGGAGAAGCTGGACGGCTCGCACATCTTCGAGCGCACGGTGATCCTGCTCCTCTCCTCGGGCGCGCGGCAGCTGGGCCCCATCGGCGTGATCCTGAACCGGCCCTCGCTCATGTCCATCAAGGAGGCGTCGGAGACCATCTTCGCGGACGACGCCGACATCGCCGCCGCCTTCGCGGGCCGCCCGCTCTTCTTCGGCGGGCCGCTGGAGGAGTGCTTCTTCATTCTCGGGCCCCGCGCGGCGGCCGCCGGCGGCGGTAGCGACGCGGTTGCGCGGACGGGGCTGTTCGAGGAGGTGATGCCGGGGCTCCACTACGGGACGCGGGAGACCGTCGGGTGCGCGGCGGAGCTGGCCAAGCGCGGCGTGGTGGGCGTCCGGGACTTCAGGTTCTTCGACGGCTTCTGCGGGTGGGAGCGCGAGCAGCTGCGCGACGAGGTGCGCGCGGGGCTCTGGCACGTCGCGGCTTGCAGCGCCGCCGTGCTGGGACTCGCCACCGTCGTCAAGGGCGGGCTCTGGGAGGAGGTGCAGGGGCTCGTCAGGGAGAGGAAGGTGTAGTGAACTGCCTGCTGCCTCACTGCTGGGTGGGTCAGCAGGAATGGCTTTGTAATTACTCAATCAGTTAATTAACTTGCAAGTTAAATCAATGCATTCATTTCGAAAGCATTCTTCGTTGACGATCCAGACTTGAAATATCGATCGAGAAATAGAGAGCAGAAAGCTCCGTGTCTGTGCAGAGCTTGAGGACACAACTGAACTGAAGAGCAGCATTTTTTTCTTGCTGTCATCAACCAAAGATGAAGGTGTTAATTACAATTCCCAGAACGAACCAAAAGATCAAGTTTAGGATCTGTCCAAGGACTAGTCAATTCCACAAATCATTTGTCAATACTAGACCTGAATTTGGTGCCATTCAAATGCTCCTGCTTAATCATTTGGCGCTGCATTTACAATTAATGAACAGCATTAGTAAAAAAAAAAACACAAACGTATGTCTATAATAAGCTCAGGAGAGCCATGAGCTAGTAGTAACTAGTACCTCTAGATGGCACCAACAGCAGGACAAACTAGCTAAATCTGGGCAAATGTTTCTGAACTGTGGCATTTTCAATAGTGAGAATCAAAACATGCAGTTCACAAGAGTAACCGTGGGCAAATGTATTGACCTCGGCGCTTGTTCAGCAGTACTTTTAAGTGAATGAACTGTGCTTTCCTCTCACGACGAATCAACATAAGCATCAGCATAAGCCAAATTTCAGCGAAATGAACAGATCAGGTTACACGAGTTGGAGCAAAGGAAGGCAGATCATGGGTCACTAAACCTGATCCATCAGATCTAAAAACGGTACAGAATCTGATCACAAGAGCACACCGGCACCGGAAACTGATGTTTGTTGCTGTGAGCGAGCTTCAATAGTTCAAATGCAACTATGCTTCAGTGTAGTTCCATTTTCTTAAGAAACTAAAACAATTTATGGTAACTGTCAGCTAGAGGGAGTCCTGGAATTTATGCCCAAAGTTTGTTGTAACCTATACCATTAGACACTTGCAGCAGCAAAAGTTGATGGATCGGTTCCATTCCCTTTGTGTCTAGTTACCGAGTTGTCTAGAAGGTGCTGGTCTTTTTTGCCTGCCCCATGTGATCATCTCCTTTGGGCATGGGGTTGCGAATCAATGAGGCATCCAGGATGGTGACGAGATTCAAGCCCATCGCGGCCAGTACACAAGCATACATGATACATACGCATTTGTTTAGTTTGTAAATGGACTGGACCGGGATGGAGAGAGTTGTTGATTGGTTGGGTGTGCGACGAATTATTTTGTGCGGCTACAAACAGGGGCGGAGCAAGGATTTGAGATAGGGGGGGGATGGACAAAGCACGTACGTGAGCTGGTTTTAGTCACGTAATGATATAATAATAGCATGTTTCACAAGTCTTAACCAAAATAAAATTACATATCTATCAACTTAAATTTAGCTCTTCGACTAGCAGCAAGATCGTACGATGTGATAATATCATCAGTGTTGATTGATGCAACCAATTCCTTCTCAATATAAATTACCAAACAATCTCGCAGAAATCCATCTCTCATTGTACATCTGAGACGTGTCTTCGCAAGTTTCATAGCTGAAAAGCATCTTTCGGTGGTTCCAGTTGATACCGGAAGAGTTAATACTAATCTTAATAACCTATCCACCATAGGATAAGATGAATATTTTCCTGTTTTAAATAGTCCACTTGTTAGAGCAGCAAGTATTGATAATTCCTTTAGTTCTGGACTGTTGCATACATCAATTTGAAAATGTGGCAGCTGACACTCCAATTGAGCTCTTTCCTGACTTGAGAAATCAGCAGGATAATATTTTTCCACTAGAGTGCATATATTGTCTATGTTGAATGTGTCCAGCCTAGAATCGAAAGAAGCACAAAGGGACAAAAGCTCTGTCGCTTGAGAACTGAATCGATCTTCTAACTCTGCCAGTGTTGATCAATTGCAACATTAAACACATCTACTTTGTAATGGTGAAAGGTTGTGGTGTTGTCATTCTTGTTTCGAGATTTAGTCACATCAACATACCTATAAATGGGAAGATATGGATTGATTGATGAACAAGTACAATTTTACAAAAGAATAAATAATTTAGGAAAAAACATACTTCTTACTAAGATCCGAAATATCAATCTCGTGCTTTCCACAAAACAATTTGACCTCCTCATCCGGAATATCAATCTCGTGCTTTCCACAAAACAATTTGACCTCCTCAAGAAGAGGTTCCCAGCCATTATTTCACAACTTACAAAGCAACACTTTTGTGGTAGAAACAGAATCCACTGTATTTAAGATATCAATGCTCTTCTTTTGGAGTGTATGGCACAACACATCAGTGATCTTCATAATCTTTTCCATTAGGAGTAGAATAAACACAAAATCAAATATGATAATGATTCGTAAGGCACCACTGGCATCTCCCCGAGAATACTTCAAAACTGAACGATCATTAGCAATGCTGCGTAGGATTGAAACTGTGGCACCAAACATCTTTTTTAAGCTTATAATAGACCTATAGTGGGAACTCCATCTAGTGTCCCCTGGCCTTTGTAGGGAGGAAATCTGATTTGTCCCTCGCCCTGTGTCAAGCTCTCCCAATTCAATTTTATGGGCAATTTCCTCTGCTTGTTATGCTAGCAACTCATCATTGCACTTAGGAGAAGCACTAACAACATTTATGATGAAATTTGCATGCTGAAAAAATTTGTGTACCTCATGTACCTCCCTTAATGCTGCTACAAGGCCCAACTGAAGCTGATGAGCCATGCAATGAATATAATATGCATATGGGCACTCATTGAGAATTAGAGCTTTCAATCCATTCCACTCCCCTCTTATGTTACTGGCCCCATGGTAACCTTGACCTCTTCTTTGTGTGATTAGGCCATTAGCTGAGAGGACAGCACAAATTGACTCTTTAAGTGTTAAAGTTGTAGTATCACTAACATGGATCGGATCAAGGAAACGCTTCCTTTATAAGGCTTTCCTTGTTGACAAATCGGAGGACTATCGTCATATGCTCTTTTTTGGACTCATCTCAAGCTTCATCAACCATTATGCAAAATTTGCTATTGCCAATTTCTTCTCTAATTGATTTCTGCACTTTTCGAGCAAGTATGATTAGAATTTTCTTTTGGACACCAGGTGAAGTGTATTTTGCATTTTTGGGAGCATTTTCCAACACAACCTCATTAACATCCGTGTTATAGGAAGCCAAAAGCTTGACCATTTCAAGAAATTATCCCTGTTTCAGGAATCTGGAGATTCATCATGGCCTCTAAAGGGACAACCTTAGAATGTCAACCACCTATAAGTACATAAAGAAAGCAAGTTAAAATTAAATATTACAGAAAGACATGAGAAATTGATCTTATACCTAATGCAATCAATCGTAGTCGCAAGCCTTCGTCTTCCTTTTGCAACCATTATCTCTTTTTGCTTAACAATCATATTGTCAATTTGAGCCATTATGTTCTTAAGATTATTAAAACACCGAACAAAATAATTATGGTCTGAGGTGGCATCTCCCATGTGTTTTAGAAAAGAACATTCATTTCTGTAATTAACTTTCTTCCCGTTCTGAAACCCCTTTACCATGAATGTATCTGATCCAACTTTCCCAATTGGCTTCTTGGAAAATAAAAAACATGACAGACAGTAAGCACGATTGGTATGTGGTGAATGTTCTTGCCAAGTAAATTGCTTGAACCAGTTACTTTGAAATCGAAGACGATGAGCTAATTCACTGAGTGGGTACTCTGCCAACACAGGTTGATATAGACCCTCTGAAATATAAAATCTCCGAGCTTCGTTTTGTTGATCAGCAGTTCTAATATTTGAACACGTTTACCAGGGTCTCTCTCAAATCTAGTAGCAACAACTGGTGGATGCTCGGCAACCTCGGCTTCGATTGGTTCAGCGGTAGCAACAACATTACTCTGATTATTAGGATTTTGTACATGATCATTATGAGTTTCCCCTTCCAGATTAGGAGCTTCCACTTGCACATTACTCTGACCGCCTCGGCTTGCAATGGCTTCAATACAATTAGCACTTGAACCAATCGGTTTAAAAAAGCTATTGCTGATCTTTCTCTTCTTCATATTGTCTAAAATTAGAAAGGGAAATTTAGAATCACCCGTGACTATTAATTAGATAAGAGAATATCACTGGAGAAAGAAAAGAACAGAACTCAGCAGCGATGAATAAAAAGTTTGGAGCAAGAATCCATCCGCTTTTGAGACACTCAATTGGATTGGAAAGAAAATCATCGTTACATGCATCATGAAACACGTAAACAAAAAATCCCCAAGATCTATAGCCTAGAAAAATGAAGATAGAAGAAAACAAGCTAGAGAATAACACAGAATCACCAAACGAACCACAGTCCACAGAGACGCTGCTGCGCATGGCTCCATCGTGGCATCATCCTTGTCCTTTTTGACTGGCGGCGGCGGAATACAAAGTGACACGAACGGAGGGGCGACTGGCAACTGCTACCGTGCGTCCGTGCTACGTAATGATTCTAGGGCCAAAGTTCAGACTTCAAAGCCTCAGAGACTTCTTAATTTTTTATTGGGCCAGGCCACCAGGGGCGGGGTGACAGGCGCCCAGGCCACCAAGGGGTGAAAGGCAGAGCAGCAGAGGCCTAGGCCACCAGGGGCCACTGCAGATGCCGCAGAGGGTTAGGGGGTGCCAGCCCCCCGTGCCCCCCTCCCTCCGCCACTGGCTACAAATGCAACCCAACATCGTGCCTGTATCACCTTAGCCTAACTCGCGAGAGAAGACCAAAATATCGTGTAGCATGAGGGTTGGGATGGAGGAGGGAATTAAAAAAACTCAGCTGTGGGACACCCCCGAGCTATTTTAGCTTAAGGTAGGTGACTTCTCACCTAGCCCGAAAAAACCTCTGAACCCCATGCCCCACCCGCATACAGGGGCCCGTTAGAAGGAGAGAATCTATATCCTACCATACAACAAAAGCATTCGAGGCTGGCAACCAAACAAGACCAATCTGCACCGCCCCAAGCCGAATGGTGCGCCAGATGGTGGGATACGAGCAACCAATCACGTCCTCTTTGTGTTCTCCATTCTTTGTGTAAAGGAGCTCAGTTAGGCTTGCCCAAGAGGTAGTATAACCGGGCTGAACCCAAAACCAAATTGTTACATTTATCCTTACGAGTTAATATGAGGAATTTGAACGTGCCGTGTAGCATTTTGTGTTCGTTTGAGTTGTGACGATACACGGTACTAAAAACTTGCGCATGTTTGTTGACCATGACTACGGCCCTGTGGGCGCTGCTCGGCCTGTGTTGAGGTGGTGGCCACTTGCGTGTTGAGTTATCTGGATGGCATCTATTGGGCTTGGGCGCACGCAGCAGCTCTCTCCGTCGAGTTGGGCTTCTCTAGCCCATCACTGTCGCGAGGTCCATCGGCATCAAGCTTTGTAACGGCATCTGGCATCTCCTTAACACGCGGCCCAAACACAGCGGCGCCACCGCAGCTTCCGTCGTTCTTCTGGAGAGGAAAAGCTGCGCGGAAAGCGACGGCCTCCGGAGCCGTCCGTCCGTCCGTTCGAGCCGGACCTCGCGCCGCACCGGGCACCAAAGCTGCCACCACCGCGCGCGACGGCGACCATTTTTGGTTCGGGGGTTCGCGGTCGCCGGTGAGGAGAAAGAAATGCGAATGCCCCCCATTTTTCGTGATCCAGAACAGAGCGCGTCCCGCTCGCCGACGACGCTTCTTGTGGGCCGCGTGGGCCCCGCGGCGTTTATCCGGTGTGCGTGTTGTGGTGGTGGCGTGGCTCGTGCGGTGCAAAAGACTGTTGAGCTGGGGCGCCCCAACCTGGTCGCGAAAGGCCAAATTCCAGTCCACATCCGCCTCCCATCGAGCGTGCAGCTGTCCAAGTCCAATCTAAAATCCAAATCCAAATCAAAAAAGGAGCGAGCGAGGAAATTTCATTCCTTTTTCAAAGGATTATTAATTGCAAATAATCTGTGACTGTTAGTAATGAGTTTGTTTGGTACGTGGCGAGTGCCGCTGCTGCATGGCCCAGCGCCACAGAAATGTCGTTTGTGATTTGTGTCCGCGACGCGAGACATGGTGCCCGCCAACCATCCGTCTACCCAGCCACCAAACTTCCCCCCGAGCCGTAGGAACCAAGCAATGCTCTTTCTCTTTCTTTGTACATAAAGGAAACAAAAAGGCAAACATTATTATTGCTCCCTTCGTTTTGAAATTTATAATAGATCTCTTTTGTGTTTGTAAGTGATCTAAATTTACAGTAAATAAAACTTTGTAATCCGAAAGTTTTTTGACAAGAGTGTTACCATACCACACATCAAGGAGGTTAATTATGAACCCATGTTTATTTATAGCATGTTTGGTTTGGGGAGTATCCCATCCGGAACGGATTGATCCAGAATGGCCCTGTTTGCTTCTCTTATAATCCGTCTTTTTCAAATTGTTTTTTTAGTCGAAACAATGTTTTCTCTCACAACAAATCAGCCGGAACAATGTATCGGCTTGTTTTTTCAGCGAAGCGAACGAGGCCAATGTCATGGTTCCTTGTGGGTTCGGGTGATACTTTGACTGTATTTGGTTAATGAAGTGGAGTGAACGCTGGCTTCGAGAATGTGCTCGTCCGATGGTTTTGACGAGAATGAGGAGGTTCGTAACTTTTGGCTGCTGGTGGAACGACTCGATGGCGGATGAGCCGAACCGATGCTTCGAACCAAACGGCACCTTAGGCTCGGATACAGGTTCAGATCGTCTGGCACCATTACGTGGTGTGAACCAAACACATTATTAATGTTTTAATGATGCTGATGTGATAATACTGTAAAATATTACTGTTATTCTATAAACTTGATCAAACTTAGTACAATTTGGTTTAGAACAAACAAAGACCCGTTATATTTAAGAGGGTTGGTATATGTTTGACAATCAAAGTTAACACAAAATGGTTTAAGTAAATGGTGAACTAAAGGCATATTTGGATCCTCTAAGATTAATTATTAGCCAGGGCTAAAAGCTACTCATCTAACTATTAGGCTATTTACACGCGTGTTGGATCTTAGGTTAGATGGTGTATATAAAATTAGTAATGAACTATCAGCCCGTGTTAGCTAATTGTACTTGGCCCACCATCAGTCCCGCTGTTCGGATGAAGTAGGGCTAATGTTGCTAAAAAAAGGATAAAGTATTAAAGTAAAGTTAATTTCCGGCACGCCCTAAACATATTCATTCAAGTAGTTTACAATAATATTAAAAAGAAATACTATGCCTGGATCCAAGATGCACACAAAAAAACTTCACACGTGAGGCACAGACATTTTCTCACGAGTTCTCGTCATAATTCAGTTACATTGTCTTATAGCATTCCTATATTTCATATGCCTGTTATTGGAAAAAGAATTTTTTTGAATAAAAGAACCCAAATGAGAAGAGCCCAGTCAGCAGGCCCGGCGGAGCACGCCGTCCCGGCCCCGGACGGATCTAGGTTTCCGTTAACCTCCTGACGCCCTCACTAATCCACAGCTCCCAGCGCGTGCCACTGATGTGCGGGCCCCGCTCGTCCATCCCTAGGATGATCGCGCGGGGTGAGAGGGAGACGAGCACGGACGGCGAGATCTCTCCACTCCGGCTCTCCCCCACGAATCGCGGGGCCGCAGAAACGATCCGCGCACACACCACATCCTGATTTCCTCTCACTGCACGGCGGTCCCACGTCACCAGCATTCCTTCCGTGACCCCACCCGCACCAGCGGTGTAGGCTTCGCCCGCGTCCACGTAGCAGGGAGGGCTAATAGCGTCCGCAACCAGACGCCCGCCCCAGGCCCCAGCTGCTTAACACCCATCGCCTCCTCTCTATTCTATTCACCCGCCTCTCCCCTCTCGCTCATCACCGCACGCGCGCACGAACGCTCCCACCCGCCTCCCGCCGCCGCCGCCACCGCCACCGCCACCGCCACCGCCGCCAAAACCCCAGCGCGAGCCGAGCCCGACTCGGCGTCCTCAACCTCCTCCTCCTCCTCGGCGGCGCGGGCGAGCCGGCCGGGGAGAGATGGCGTCGGAGGACGTGGTGGGTAAGAGCAGGGGCGACACGGCCGTCACCACCATCGTCAACCTGGCGGAGGAGGCCAAGCTCGCGCGCGAGGGCGTCAAGGCGCCCGGCTACCAGATCCTCACCATCTGCAAGTCGCTCGTCGCCGGTGGCGTCGCGGGAGGAGTGTGAGTCCCCTGATAGACTATTTTAAGGATCTCTAGGTGTAAATCCAGTGGGTGTTTAACTTAACCGAAATGAACTTGCTCGTCGTTCCCTTCGCTCGCCTCTCCCCTGCTCCGATCCTCTGCCTCTCGTCGTCATCGTCCTCCTCCTCCAGTCCTCCTGGGATTGGATTCGTCCTCACGTGCCTGTGCCATTCGGTTGTCTAGGTGGGTGTTTCCCTGATTGGGTTCGGCTCTGGATTTTGTTGTTGTATAGGCTACCGATTGGGTTCGGCTTTCTGGGATTTGTTGTTGTAGGCTACCCAGAGTTTGATCCGTGTGGGTGTCGTCTGGCTCCTGGTATAGGGAATTGGGGGTTCCCGTGCTGCTTGTCACGAGTTGTGTGCGTACTCGTCACGAGTTGTGTGCGTGCTTGGCCTGGCTTATCTCAACTTGATGCGCGATCGTTGGGCGCGGCCCGTGTGATCTGTGTTGGATTCGCACAGGTCTTAAACCCTACACGCGAGCCACTCAGATCTCGGTTCGTTGACTGATCACTTGGTTTGATTCGCTGGGAAACCACGCGGGGAGACACATTGACCATGGGCTGTTCTTCTCCACTGATCTAAACCATTTGCCAACTACTCGAGTTTTGGTTGATCTATTATTAATTCTCCAGACAGGATTCCATTCCCAAAAATAATTTAAAAAATTCCAGATGCATATCCGTTTTTGCCAGTTGCCATAATGGTCCCCTTTGGACCTTAAATTTCAGTAGTTTGTTATTTTTGCGTTTTGTTCCTTCTCACTATTGGTATTAAATTGCTAGGGTTGCGTCCAGCGTTCTACAGAGTTTGCTCACCCGGGGATGGATTTGTTTTTTTGAAGGAAATAGTAAAACTGTGTTCTAGATAGACATAACGAGCTGTCTTTCGGGTTTGGTCAGTGTTCGGTAATAACCGACAAATCCACCAGAAAAGGAACGATTCACCACTGAGTTCATGCATCAGAATTTTGCTGTTGCTGTTGATGTCTCTATCCAGCCACTTTCCATTATTTGGAATTAGTTTAGATGTATTCAGCATTTTTGAGTAGTATATTGTTCTTCCTTGTAAACGACCTATTCTACCGGCTTCAGTTAGATAGCAGTAGATGATCTCCTTCAGTTAGTTAGTCAAACAGCTAGTGCGTGCGTCCTATTCTCCTGCTAATCCTTGCATGTAGGAAGTAGTTAGCATTACTTGGCTATGAATGATCGCTGACATGTATATGTACCCATACACTCTGAATGAATGAACTCGAGCATTCTTCTCATTCTCCTCTCTTACATGGTATCAGACTAAACGATCCTGTACTCCACCCTCCGCTGCTCCTGCCCATGGCGAGTCCTTCTGGCTCCCACTCTTCTGGCACCAATCCCTTCGGCGTGGGCAATGAACCCACTCCTCCCCCAGCCTCCACACTCGTGCTGCTCAATATCCGCAGTCATATTCCTGTGGTTCTCAATGCCGATGATGGCAGCTTCCGACAGTGGCGCAGTTTCTTTGAGCTGACGCTCAAGAAATTCTGGCACCGCCGATGCATGATCGATGACCAGAATGGCTCCGATTATCTGCCGTCTCTTGGCTCTACAACACCGTGTCCAAAGAGATCTGGAGCGACGTCAACCGGCCCGGCGCCACTGCCTACAGCTTGTTCTTGAAGAGCCATTTACTAGTGATCACATTGGCATTGGCAGGTCGCGGCACTAGCGTCCATGTGTTGTTCTTCAGAGCGTCGAATTCGGCTTGCATCGCAGCCATCCAATCCGGATCACGAAGAGCGGCGCGGGACGTCGATGGCGTTTGGCGACGCGGCGATACTTGGATTGGGAAATGCGATAAAACTGTGTTCTAGATAGTGGCGGCGATCGCCGCAGGCTGCGATGTCGAAGCGTCGTTGGAGTGAGTGGGCAGCGGGACCTCAGGCGAGTGAGTGTCCATTGTTTGCTTGTGGCGGCGCTGGGTGGAGTGTTGGCGCCGGACCTCTCGTTGTCTTTGCGGTACACGTCGGCGACGTGACGTCGATGCAACCGTGGCTCGGTGGGCATCGGGATGATGTCCGATAGGCATGGTGAGCACAGAGTTGCCTCAGGTGATGACAGTGGGTGTACCTGCGCAAAAGGGAAACATGTTTCGTCGAAATAGACGTGTCGGGAGATGAGCACCCGTTTGGTCACCGGATTATAACACTTGTAGCCCTTTTGATCGAGGGGATAGCCAAGGAACGTCGCAAATACACATCATCGCGTGCCAATTTGTGTGGGGTCACAAGTGGTGTTCGGTGTAGATTCGGAGGTGGTTGTAATCGGGCGGCGAGCCAAAGAGCAGCTCGAAGGGGATCGAGTTGTTGCGTGTCATGGCCGATTTTGAGTGTAGATGTGAGGCCGCCAAACGGTCCGGCCACTAAGGTAGGAGGGATGGAGGCTTGGAACAGCAACGAGCGAACGCCATCATTGAGTGTGCGGATAACGCGCTCTGCACGTCCGTTCTGCTGTGATGTGTATGGGCATGTGAGGCGTAGAGCAATGCCATGCTTGGCGAAGAAGGCGCGGGACACCGAGTTATCAAACTCTTTGCCGTTATCGGTTTGAAAACACATTATGGGGACCTGAAACCGAGTACGCACAAAGGCATGGAAGGAGATGAGAGTATAGAACATCTGATTTGTTCCTAAAGTCAAACATAATGAAATCATCAAAATGACAAGATAGAATTTATAACCCGAATTGCTCAATATACAGGTCCAAGGCATACAATGCAGTGTGAAATGGAAATTGTGAAACATTATTGGATCTGACGTCCTTGGTTGTTTGCCAAGACTATGTCACATGACTTGACTTGGAACAAGAAAAACCTTTGTTAGGACTAGCCAAATTATGCTGGTTAATATGTCACCTGAAGTCAGAGCTTAAACTAATTTTCTATTTAATTCGTTTTGGTCATTTTCAAATCCCGATGCATATCTGAAAAAGCCCAGATGAAATTCGACTACACGGAATTGTCATTAGAGCACGAATGATATAAGATTCTTGAAATGGTCTTTGTTGCTCATTGATGTGCTTCATTTAGTGGCGTGGCCATAAATTAAAAGGAACTATTCTCTTGGATCAACTATTGGTGTCTCTGCATGCTCTAAATTACTTTATTTGTATCTGTGTAGTCAATGCAGCCAATGCACAGGTCACTGTGATAATGTGTCTGCAGTGTATCTCTCAGCCGTGCATCATCGCTCGACCAAGCATTGGAAAATACATTTTGTCTTCAAGGTTGCTTCCCAGTTCAAAGTTCTGAATTTTCCTAGGTTCAATTTGCAGATATCTCAAATCAACAGTGTATCAACGAATTCAGAGACAGTTTATGCTTCGATCAACTGCTATATATGCAACAAGACCTATTCAACCTGTTTTTAGATAGCAATGATCTCCTTCAGTTATAAAACAGCTAGTGATTGCATTGAATGAATGGTTTAAGAACTTGGGTGATCGCTGACATGTATATGTACCCATACACTCTGAATGAATGAACTCGAGCATTCTTCTCATTCTCCTCTCTTACATTCCTATTGTCATTTGTCATCACTGCATATCATCTACGTCAGCAACACTGAAGGCTTACCAGTGTTTACTTTATCTGATGTCCTTGGTTGGTAGAAGACTATGTTGACTTGATCTTGTCTTCCTTTGTTAGGACTAGCCAAATTATGCTTTAATAGTCACCTGAAGTCAGAGCTTAAACTAATTTTCTATTTAATTCGTTTTGGTCATTTTCAAATGATGCATACTGAAAGTGCAGATGAAAACTAGGAATATCTTAATGATATATGTTGATGAAATGATCTTTTGCTCATTGATGTGCTTCATTTCGGCTTGTAAATTAAACCAACTATTCTCTTGGATCAACTATTGGTGTCTCTGCATGCTCTAAATTACTTTATTTGTATTTTGCACAGGTCACGTACTGCTGTTGCTCCGCTCGAACGATTGAAAATTTTGCTTCAGGTGAATTCCCTGTTCTGATGAATTTTCCTAGGTTCTTTTTAATGTCTCAAATCAACAGTGTATGGTTGACTGAGCACTGCTATATATAACAAGTTAACAACCTGTTTTGTGCAATCTCTCCATAAATCAGGATTGCATTGAATGAATGGTTTAAGAACTTGGGTTGTGAGTTGTATAAAATTGCTGTACATGAACTTTCCTGATTAATGTGGTAACAGTGTTTTTTTAGTACTAGCATAGCTAGAGACAGGATGCAAAATTGCAAATTGAATCTTGACCGTGTTAATGTATATCTAATTTGCTCTATCTATTCTAATGCAAGATCCACATAGCATCAAGTACAACGGTACAAGTTCTACATTATGTGGAGTTGACCTCTCACTTAATTTCCATTGCCTACTCAGGTTCAAAATCCACATAGCATCAAGTACAACGGTACAGTTCAGGGTCTCAAGTATATCTGGAGAACTGAGGGCCTCCGTGGACTTTTCAAGGGTAATGGTACCAATTGTGCAAGGATCGTTCCAAATTCTGCCGTGAAGTTTTTTAGCTACGAGCAGGCGTCAAAGTATGTCCTCTTTTTTCCAATCACTCTTAATAAGTTGTCCTGTTCTGCTACCACTTAACCACTATTTGTAGTTTTCAGACCTTTTCTCTGTTGCATGATTACTCTTTTATCCTGAAATTGGTTAGAAGCATTTCCTTTTTTTACTCTTCTTTTCTCTGTTCAGTGTCATGCAAAGCAATAATTGATTGTCGTTGTCTTTCTCTATTTGTTTTTATAGGGGCATTCTGTGGGCCTACCGTCAACAGACTGGGGAAGGTATACCTTTTGCTACTATGTTACTGCCCAAATTAGATTTCCTGCATACTCATTTATTTTCAAGTGGAGATTGTCATCATATTCTACAAAACCTGTTTTTTCAAGCCTGTGTATACTTTTAGTTGTGGTTAGCTCCCAGTTATTAAATAACCCTGTTGCGTAAAATCTTGGCCTTACCTAACTCCTAATCATTGGCTGTGCTTGTTGCAAATATTTTCAAGAAAGGGTGTAGGATTTGGCAGTATCCCTAATTCAGGAATTGGGGTTTCTATTGAATGAACTGCTTGCATCGAGAAAATTTTGTTTCTTAACTTGTAACCTTGCATGTTTCATTTGTTGCCCAACTCTGTCACCCTTGCCATGGCTTAAGGCCAAAACATTATGTGCTTGGTTGCTCGCCAACTTTAGACTGAGGTGTGCCAGTCATGCTCTTTCTTTATGACTTGTCAAATAGGTAACTGAAATCTAGTTAACCTAATATTTTTTCCAGTACTTCATATATAGAGTGGAGAAATGGGTAGAACACTAGCATCATGCCCATGTGCAAGTGTCAGCATTTCATGTCTTTTACTAGTTTGCTGAGTCTACATGTGATGCCTGAAAGTTGCTGTTGAATGTTCAGTTTGGTGATATCATTTGCAACTCCCTGAGACACAACATACTTCTTACTTGCCATGTATTGATGTTTTCAGATTACACATGGTTCAAAAGTTTCTCACAATGATTTCACCATTTGCAAATTGTGTTGTGCTTTGTGGTACAAAATATTTCATGCATGCATGAGCTTCACATGAAATAATTGGTTTCAGTTTTAACTGCATTATCGCATGAAGTTGATAGAAGTTTCTGAATTCAACAACATTGGTATGTTCCACAGAGGATGCTCAGCTTACTCCACTCTTGCGCCTTGGAGCTGGAGCCTGTGCTGGTATCATAGCCATGTCTGCTACTTACCCAATGGATATGGTTAGGGGTAGGATCACTGTTCAGGTACCGTATAGTTTTCAATGCTTTCAAGCACCATGAGATTGCCAATCTTGGTAGCTAATCTATAAGCCATTTTGGACTTCTATTCCATTTCGTTTGATGTTTTGTTGACTGTGAACTTACATATGCAGACAGACAAGTCTCCCTACCAGTACCGTGGTATGTTTCATGCACTGGGTACAGTCTACCGTGAAGAAGGCTTTCGTGCTTTATACAGAGGGTGGCTTCCATCTGTAATCGGAGTTGTAGGTTTCTTGTAACTATTAGATTATTCCTTTTTTGCTCTTGCTGATGAGTACTTACCACTTTATGCTTTGAGTACTTACCACTTTATGCTTGGTTATCTTCATGAAGGTTCCGTACGTTGGCCTCAACTTTGCTGTATATGAGTCCCTCAAAGACTGGCTACTCCAGACAAATCCATTTGGCCTTGCAAATGACAACGAGCTGCATGTGGGTACAAGGCTTGGGTGTGGAGCTGTGGCTGGGACTATTGGCCAGACTGTTGCATACCCTCTTGATGTCATCAGGAGAAGAATGCAGATGGTTGGTTGGAACCATGCCGACTCTATTATTACTGGAAAAGGCAAAGAAGCACTCCAGTACAATGGCATGATCGATGCATTCAGGAAGACTGTTCGTCATGAAGGCGTTGGTGCTCTGTACAAGGGCCTTGTTCCGAATTCAGTCAAGGTAATCCTTGTGACAGAAGTTTTACATGCTTTCGGTGTCGTTCCCTAATGTTGGTTGACAAACTTCTTTGAGGAAGTTTTTATCAAAATTTCTTTTCTAAGTTTGTTTCTAAAATTGTGTATAGTCTGTTTCTAACATTCTGTCCTTGTTTTGGCATCTTCAGGTGGTGCCCTCAATTGCCATTGCATTTGTCACTTACGAGGTTGTGAAGGATGTGCTAGGAGTAGAGATGAGGATATCAGACTAAGGAAGCGGGGGTAGTGCTGGTCGTTATCAACTGCTATTTTTGTAGGTTTTGGGGAGTTCTGTTTTTGTAGGCAGGGCGAGTAGGAGGATATGACTGCGGCGGCTCCATTCAGCATCAGGCCCTCTCAGCCCATGTTGATATATCCTGCTACTGGCTTCAGGTCCTAGAATTGTTGCTGGATCATGCGAAAAGTAATAAGTTGGCTGTAAAGCTTTAAGCACTTGCCTAACTCATAAAAAATCTATTCCTTGTTGATGTACCGAGATTGAACTTAAAAGCGGTATTGCGTGCTGGTAATAGTTGATTCTAATGATTTTTCTCAGCCTCTGTGGCTTTTCACTTTAATGCGGTTGCTGGTGATTTTAGCCCATCTGACCGCCAAATGTTTGGTTTACCTTGTGACGGCGTTCAGTGTGCCCTTGTATCGTTCTAATGCATGGATTTTGAATTCACCTGTCTGCCCGTTTCAAGTATATTAATGTATGTTTAAGGGTGGATTGGTTGTGTATTCGTCTGCTTAATTTATGTACGTGATCGGAGAAATTCTGCAATTGATGGTCGTACGGAGCATTTGTTTTTGAAACATTTGTTCATACATCTGAGAAGTAATTCTCACATAATCAATGGTCTAGTTGACAAAAATGTTATCATCAGAATACACCAGCGAAAATCCCTGCATTCTCAGGCTAGTTCAGAGTCTGAAGCGTGCCCCCCGCCGGAACCGCGCCGCCGGGGAGACGGCACGGCAGAATTCAGGTGGCCGTCCGACTTGATCCTCTGCATCCGCCTGATGATCTGCGGCGGCCTCACCACGCCCATCGACTTGGATTTCTCCGGCGGCCCTGCACCACCATGCATTCTCTCCCCCATAGCATCATCTACCATAGCAAAGCAAAAGGTGTCAACGACGAGCAGCATGGACAGAAGGCTTGCCTGCTAGCCTGGAGGCGACCCTGCTGCCATCCAGCTTCCTCGGCGACGCCTTCCTGCTGCTGGCGCGGTCGCTGGGCGACGCCTTCCTGCTGCCGGCGCGGTCCGGCAGCGACCGCGTGGTGGTGGTGGTGGTGCCGCGGCTCGACACGGACAGAGCATCGGCGTCCGACAGCGTCGCGCTGCTGCTCTCGTCCCCGCACAGCGAGTTGCCGTCGCTGCTGGAGTCGGAGGCCTTGTCCCTGCCGCCGCCGCCGCCGATGTGTAGGATGGCCGCCCGGCTCCTCTCCTTCTCCACCACCCTGTACGCGAACATCTGGAACGGCACGTCGGAGACCCGCGGCGCCGCGTTCCCGGACCCAGACTGCCACGCCGGGCTCCTTTGCCGGCTCGCCTCGATGTCCAGGTAATCCACCGGCGGCACGGGAGGCGGCGGCGCCGCGTCTGGCTGCTCCGCGGGGGCCGGGTTCATGACCACGAACCGCTTCACGTAGCGGAGGACGCGGCAGACGGACGCGAACGCCGGCCGCTGCGCCGGGTCCCCGTGCCAGCACCGCTTGGTGAGGCTGGTCAGGTACTTGGGCGCCTGGAACGGGAACAGCGGCCGCTCGCCGGCGCGGATGTTCTTGCTCATGTGTTCCCCCTGCAGGTGGTTGTCCTCGAATGGGATCTTCCCCGTCAGCAGCTCGAAGCAGACCATCCCGAAGCTGTACACGTCCGCCTTCTCCGTGCACTTGGCCGCCTCCTGCTCCAGCACCTCCGGGGCGTACCAGATGAAAGGGTTGGAGGCGGCGACGACGGCGTTGATGGCGTTTGCTGCTTTCGCCGACGCCCTAGGGCTGGGCCTGGGGTTGGCGGCGGCCACGGTCGCCGCGGACTGCCCGAACCCAGCGACCTTGACGTGGAGGGGCGTGTCGCCGTCCCGCGTCCTGACGAGCACGTTGGATGGGTTCAGGTCGCCGTGGTAGATCTTCCTCGAGTGCAGGTAGTCCATGCCGCGCGCGATCTGCAGCATCATGTCGACGACCACGGCGAGCGGGAACAGGCCTGGCCCTCTCAAATTATAGACCTGGAGCGAAGCCATAGGCGGTATAGGTCCCTTAATATAAGTCTAATAATATAATGATAATTTTAATAAGTGTAATACATAAAAAAAATTCTTATGAAACAACAAAAAAAGTTATACATCTTATATTACTTTAAAATTTTCTTCTAACATTTGCTGCTGCGAAGTCATTGATGATGGCCTCAATATCAATTTCATCTAATAATTTTTTCTCGATGCATAAAGCTACCAAACCATTTAATCTTTCTTGGGACATTACAGACCTCAAATAATTCTTCAATAATTTCAGCTTTGAAAATGTTCTTTCAGCTGAGGCCACAGTCACATGCATAGTGAATAGGATCCGATAAGCAATAGAAATATTAGGATAACAATCCGCTTCTGTGACAAACTCAAAAATCTCCATAGCAGACATTGGCTTATCTGGCAGAGTAGACTGCATAACAGCTAACTCAGAAATCATGTCATTTACATCAACATCCGATGAACCATCTTAAGAGAGTTTTTGCAAATTTAATGCAATGGTCTTTTAAATCAGCACCATCCATTGCCTTCAAGGATGTTGAATTCATTAGAAATCCGAATTTTTCATTGAATGACTATAGTTCTTTAAATCTGCTTTTTAATGAACTAATTGTCGTATCAACATAACCAAAAAATAAAAAGTTTCAAAATTCTTCTCAGCTTGCAAGATAGCTTCATTGCATTCAGTTTCATCAAATTGTTTCTTCTTAACAGAACGACGCTTTACTGAAAATGATGCATCTACTCCCATTTCAAGTGCTATTTCTGTGGCAGCAACCACACTATCAGCAAACCCAGTATTTCTGTAGTTCTGAAATTAATTCACCGTACCTTCTATATGCTGCAAGGTAGAATCAACGCACATGGATGGTGATTGCAACTTCTTACTGACAATATTTACAGAGTATAAAATGTCATGCCAAATAACCATACCAAGTATGAACTCAAAGTTGCCAAGCACGTCATATAAATTTTTTGCATCACTTCTATCCTTAGGTTCAGTATCTCCATCCTCACTTAGCCACAACAAAGTTAACCTTAGTTGAGGAGCTTGATATCTAATTGCTCGGACACTTTTGATGCGACTCTCCCAACGAGTATTGCTTAATGATTTCACGGTCAAATCTGGAACATGTTCAAACAAAACATTTCATCTTTTGGTAGAACCTGAAAATAATACATATATCCTCTACACAATTCCAAAGAATGAAATAGCTTTACTGCATGATTTAGCCATATCACAAAGAGTGAGATTAAGACTGTGGCATGCACATGGCATATACAAAGCCCTTCGATTTATTTCACGTAAACGACTTTGTACCCCCTTATGTTTTCCTTTCATATTAGAGCCATTGTCATAATCTTGACCTCTAATATCATCAACATTAAGGCCAAATGATTTGATGGAGTCAACTAATACATTTAAAAGCCCATCACCAGATGTGTCATCCACCTTCAAGAAATCAAGAAAGTACTCCTCAATTTTTATTTTCTCATCAGACATATCAACACATCGAACCAACAAGCTCATTTGTTCTTGGTGACTCACATCTGGGGTACAATCAAGAATAATTGAGAAATATTTAGCCTCTTTAACAATCTTTATGATGGAGCTTGTAATTCTAGAAGCCATAAATGAAATCAACTCATTCTGAATTTTATGACTAAGATAATGATATTGTAGCTCTTTGTTTTGAATGTGTCTAAGGTGGTCTTGCATTACCAAGTCAAATTCAGCAACCATCTCACAACAAGCTAAGAAAATACCATTCACATCATTGTAAAGTTGCTCACTAGATCCTCTAAAAGCTAAACTGCGTTTACCAAGAAACTTTACAATGGCAACAATTCTTAGTAGAACTAGCCTTATGCGTTCTTTCTCCTTTGTGATTTGATGTTGCAACTCCTTGTCAATTGTTTCATGTTTGCTTAATCTAACTCTCAATTCATTCCAAGAGTTCATGTTAGTCATATGATCCACGCTAACTTCATGCTCTTTTAGTCTTTCACTAACATGGCTCCAATCTCTAAAGCCATCATGCCCCAATGGACTCTTGCGGTTACTAGAACCAAACAACTTACAACAAAAGCAAAACACTTTGTCAACACTTTTTGAATAGACCAACCATTTCCTATCACGTACCTCGCCATTGCTCATTTTTCTAAAATAATGAGTGTATGCAAAACGTCTTGATCTGTCATCCATAGGAAACACAATATTTTCTTCTCTAATAGGCCCCTTCTCCACTAATATGTCCCTTGCTTTGTTATCAAGATTGCCCCAATTTATTGGATCATACATATCAATAGTAAAAACTAGTTCTTCATCAACACGAGTAGATTGCATCGTAGGAGAATTAAGTACGGGCTCATGGTCACTCACATTATTATCATCCGTGTCGGTGCCAACACTATCTTCTATAGGGCTTTGGTCTTCTAGATGCGTAGTTTGTTCCTCCACAACAACAATTGCCCACTCATCTGGATTTCTTGTAGTGCTTGTACTGCTCTTAAAAAATTTATGAATAGATCCCCTTTGTGATTCTTTCAAGGCATCTATCTTTCTCTTCTTTTTTCTTTTCTCACTTCTAGATGCATGTTTTTTGGGCAACATGAGTTCACTGTAGATTCAGAAAAGTACCTAGTAATTAAAAAAATATATCATACTAAATTCAACATGATTGCTACTTGTATTGGATTCCTCATTCTTAATCTTAAATCCCAAATCTAAAGAAGTATAAAGAATAAAGATTGGGGAACGGGGAGATTAGAGGGGCTTGGCATTCCAAGGGCCGCTTTATTACCTCCGCAAATGGGCCAGTGATTGGCAGTTTGATTACAGGAAGCAGAAACATGGAAGGCCAAATCGCAAAGAAGCCGACGCTAAGATCACCATTGAACGGAGTCGCCGAGGTCAGGGAAGGGCTGGAGTCGATTTTCCGGACTCGTATCTCGTCGGGTTGGCACCTATTCTATGGACTAATAATGGGCCATACAAAGAATACTAGTACTACATACATAAATGGGGTTGGACCCCGCCTCGAGGGCCCAGCAGTCGACAACAGATGGCCCCCAGGACGGGCTCGGGAAGGGCACCACCGCCAAGCGCTATTCACCTCCTTGACGTGGTGGCGGTGTCCTTGGTCATGAGTTGGTCCATGACGAGGAAGAACTCGCGCTTGTCCTCGTCGTGGAAGCAGTTGAAAGGTCCTTGTTGGTTTTGGTAATTGAGTGACAACCTAGGTGGACTAATTGTGTTTATGTGCACAGTGATTAGTCCACAGGTACATGTGTATGAGCAACATATGCCATGGAGGTGAAAATGGCTTGGAGATGTTGCAAAGCTCACACATGTGATGATGAAGGAGCTTATTGCACATGAGACATGACATTGAGTCATGTGATCAAGGTGGAGAAGATCAAGACAAGACTTGGCTTGATGGACCGGTTGCAAGCGTGAAGGGCAAGTCGAAGGCTTTGGAGTGATGGACCGCGTGGCGGTGAAGCTTGAGCAAGACTTGGCGCCGATGGACGATGGCAACGGTGAAGAGCAAGTAAAGTCAAGATCGATGAACCAATATGATCACGTGATGATATGAAGTGGATCATATCATTGTTGATCATGTTGGTGCATGTGTTGCATCGACATTAGAGGAGATGGAATGGAATGCGCAAGGCAAAGGTATAACCTAGGGCATTTCATTTCACCGGTCATAGGTGTGTAGAGAAGTTTATGACCGGGTTTAGGATAGATGGCCGTACTATCAAGAGGGGCAAACTTGTTTGCATATCGGTCATCTAGTGCCACTCGAGTGATCTAACATTGCATTGTCGCTAGGATCGAGTGGCGTGGCAAGTTGAGTGGCTAACATCCTTTGGGAAATGATTGTGAAAATGCTAACACACATACACATGGTGGTGTACACTTGATGGTGTTGGCACATTTACAAAGGAGGTGGTGTTTGTAGGGGTGAGATGGGTTTGGGTCCCTCTCTCCCTCCCGCCGAGCTTGCGCCGGATGCAAATTCTATTGCGCCGGATGCAAATTCTTGTGGTTAGCACACTTGAGCAAGGGTGAAGAGAATGGAAAAGATGTCGGGCGTCGATCAATCGAATCCGGACGATTGGATCTGAATGCACCGGACGCCCGGTAGGCGTCGGTCGCCATACCGACGTGGAGTGACGCCGGCATCGGTCAACCGACCGGACGCTGGGTCTGAAAAGCACCGGACGCCGGGCTGGTCTTGCCAGCAGTGGACGTGACGTGACGCAAAGAGTCGGAGGTGACCGACGTCCGGCTGCGTCCGATCAAGTGTGACCGGACGCGTCGGTCATGCTCGGAGCTTCTTGAAAACGACCGGACGCCGAGGGTTCAGCGTCCGGTCCGCTTGAAGCTACGTCCGGACAGTCAAGTGACCCGTTGGAATCGGACACGTGGTCGTTTATCTCTGGGCGGCCGGACGCCGAGGTCCAGCGTCATCCGGTCAACACGACCGCGTCCGGTCGGCCCGACCGTCGCTGCCCATGAAGGAAGGGTAACGGCTAGTTTAGCCCTTGGGGCTATAAATAGAAGTGGCCCTCGGCCATGGCTGGTGTGGAGCACCTCAAGGGACTTAGTGTCCATGCTTGTGAGTGCTTGAAGCCTCCATCACACACATACTTGATAGCGATCATCCGATTGTGTGAGTGAGCGATTCTAGTGCGATTGCATCGTGAGGTTGCATCGAGTGGCACTAGGTGATTGAGTTGCGAGCCGGTGGTGCTTGTTACTCTTGGAGGTTGCCACCTCCTAGACGGCTTGGTGGTGGTCTCCGTCCGACTTGTGCGGCGCTCCGAGAAGTGCTTGTGAGGGGCATTGTGTCACCTGGGGAGTCGCGAAGAGCAACTCTAGTAAAGCGTGTCATTGAGCTACCCTCACTCAAGGGGTAGGTTCTTGCGGCGCCCGATGTGCGGGCTTAGCGGGTGATGCTAATTAGCCGCCGAACCACCAAGTG